AGGAGAAGCTCAAGAAATATGCATTGGTTGACTGAAGGAGTAAGCACATACCAACGTTATTCAGAGTGAGACTTCAAAAAGAGTACTTGGTGTGCAGCTTTGCAACAAATGTCACATCACAGCTAGAACTCCAAATTATTTCACTCATGAAAGAGAACAACTCCCCAGAAACAAAGTCCACCTCCTGATGACCAAGAGACTAGAATGTATCCTGTGTCCTTGACATGCCCTGTGGCATTCCTAGATGAACTGCGGGCTCATCACTTTAGATACTAGAGACTTGCACAAATGCCTTTATTGATCTGAAAGGTTTTAATAGCCCCCTAAGATCATTTTAAAGCTTCTGCCTATGAAAGACTTGACACGGGGGAGGTAATTATAATAGCTGTCTTCTAACATGGTTCCAACAGGTTGACCCGTGCAAAAGGAGGCTAGAACTCCATGCCTTCCGTGGGGGTGGCTTCAGAACAAGGGTCAGAGGACAGCCCAAACTGTCTCAGGAGGGAAAGTGCATCCTCCAGCAGACAAAAAATAGAAAGAACTGTGTGCCCTTTTTGGTAAGCCCCTGGGAAGGACGGAAGGACATTTGCTGGCTTCTGGGGCTCCTCAAAGATGTATTGAGGAGGTGACTCATTCCTCAAGTCCTAAGTGTCTAGAAGTCTGAACCCCCAGCTATTAGGGAGCAGGTGTCTACAGGATAGAGGTAACAATGCCCTGCTGTGCATTGCTGCTGCCAAATTCATGACCACTGCTAAGTCTGGGACTCTATGGTTTTAATTGTGCCTAAAGTTGGAAAGCTTGGCAGTCCTCCATATCCCCGCCCGTTTCCCCTCCACTCCCTAGTGCTCCGGGGTCCTTCTGGATTCTGATGACTAAAAACAGATGAGTGACATTCAGATAGGAAGTGGGCTAAAGTCAGGATAACCTGGGCGGGTTTCAGGGTGAAAGGGAGTATCCTTCCTGGAGCAAGATAATTGGCCTCATTTCCTTGTCTGTGAATTGAGAATAGTTTTCCCTCCTTACAGGGCGGTGACGGAGAGGAAGTCACCCAATGAGTGCTAGGTTCAAGGAGAGCTAGGTTCATAGTAGCCACTCACTTCTCCTTACTTGGCTAAGTGCCCTGGTTGGCTGGAAGTGGAAGCATTTGGAAGCATGGGCTGGCTTCTACATTTGACCCTGGACACAAGAGGATGACGTCTAGGCAACAGGTGGAGAAGGTCATTTGGAAGACTAGCAGGAAAGGAGGAGCTTGGCAGCCTGCTGCATGTTCCTAGGTGTCCTCTTGGGACAGGTCAGGGTGAGGAGACCCTAGACTAGCTCAGAATTTGACACTTCCTACCTGGGCAACCAAGGGTTTCCCCTCTGTCCCTGGTATTACTCCAGCCGTACCTTCCCCAGAGCATAATCCCAGTGAAATGGCCTCATAAATAGCCGAGACTTGGTCTGATGCACTAGATTTTTGTTTTTAAATTTCTTCTGCTGTCATTTCCCTTGTGCAACCACATTCTTAGCAAAGTGTTTGAAGGCCAGAAGCCTCTGTCTTTGTCTCTCCTCCAGGCTAAATATACCCCAGCTTGTTGAAAACAGAGCATGCAGGTTAAGAACCAGCTGTATGCAGGACTGGGCGGAGGTCTAGTGTTCTCACATTTCAGGGTAGGGGGTGTGGGCAAAAAAAGAGGTTCTATGGAAAGTAACCTCACAGTGCGATCTTAACCAGGCAAGTCAAGGTGGGTAGTCATGCCCCAGGCATACAATTTCATTACCAAAAGGCTTCTTTTTGCTTTAAGCAAGCCCTGTCCATCATATTTCTGTGCATCCAGGATAACACACCTTTGCAATGCCTCTTTCAGACTCCTCCTTCTAAGGCAAAACCACCTAGAGGGCAAATAAATTTAACTATCCTGTAACCTGATCCCGGCCTTCCTTTCCCCCACCGCCATGTAATCTTCCTTAAGTTGTTCCCTCCTTAATTTCAAATACATAAAAATAACTGCAAAATTGATATTTTCCAGAGCATTGGAGATCTTGCTCCCCAGCATGTGTTGTCAGTTTGGCTTAAACACATAAAATTTTCCTACAGGTTTCGCTGTTTCTTATGTCGACAGGGGAACTTCCATGTACTCCTCTGTACTGAAAAGCTTGGAATCTCACACTGCCTGCTTTAATGATTTCAGGAATCTCTATAGCAGGAATTACTGGCCATGAAATAAACCTTTGAAAAGTCCAGAGCTGAGCTCTGAAAGAGAAGTCATGAGGCTCTGCATTCTGTGGCCCCGACAGCGAGACTGACCAGGGAAAGGGCTCCTCCTGTGCCTCAACTTTCTCAGCAAGAGGTGGTCTTTAAGACTGTCCATCTTTGGGGTCCATATGAGCAAACCAGTTAACAACCTGAAGGTCGGTCAGCAGGGCCTCACCTAACTAGAGCCCATCTTGTAGCGGGCCCCTTGTTCGTCTGAGAGAAGCACTAAGAAGGACTGCTCTCCAAAGCAGCCAAATTCAACTCAAAACTCACAAAAACTTACCAGCCAAGGGAACAAAACAATGAAACAAAAAGTACAAGGAGCATATTCCCTCCGTGTAAAGCACAGGAACAAATGGAGTGTGTGTGAATGTCCATCCACAGAAGATGACCCACCCCCTCTGTAATTCTGGCTGCTCATCTTACCTGGATTGTACAAATGTATTATTCTAAAAAAATTTAAATTAAATCTTAAACAAAGATTCAGTAAGACTCTTTCTGGTAGGTTGTCAGACAGGACCAGATGTGTGGAGGGTGATCAAGACATCTGGGGCAAGCAGACGACTGAATCATAGGCTCTGTCAGTCAGAACTGCACAAGAGCCAGGGGCAGCAACGGAACCCAGAGCAGGGAGGACGTGCCCTCACGTCTGAGGGCAACGAGAAATCTAATTCATCTTGGCTGATAAGAAGAGACCTGCATCTCCCCAGGGACAGCTGGCTCCTGATTGGAGAAGGTGATCCATTAGCACAGGGCTCTGAAAAGTCACAATGGTATGGCCTTGCCCAGAAGTTCTGCATCTACCAGTGGCTCTGAGAGAAAACCTTGCCAGCTCCATCTCCAAGCTCGGCTGCCATGACCATCCTCATGTGCTTCATCTGAGAAGCCTCACAGTCCCTGGCTTTTATATAAGAAAATTTTCCAGTGCAGAAAACATCTACCTTCTTCTATGGGGAAACACCTTAGAAGGGGAATGGACAGCCCCGGATTCAAATCCATCACACAAGTTTCACGATCCTGGCGAGTCACTCATCCAGTCTAAGATTCATGTTCCATCCATAAAACACAGGTCGTGACCTCTTCCTAGGTTAGTTGACGGGAGTTAAGTGAGATAATGCACATTAAAGCACAGCACCTGCCTGGCGCTCACTGAGCCCATTAAATCTTTATGACTCAAAGCACATGGACAGCAGATGTCTCGATCCCCTCTCCTCTGTGACCCTGTTCTTGCTTATTCTATCTGGACAAGAACCCTTAACTGATTTAGCTCACATTAGGCAATCACAGTCAGGATAGGAGCTCTTTAGAAGGTCGTGCCCCCTCTTGCACATTTAAATGGCCAAGAAGTAGCCATCTTGCATCTGTGCATTACCTGTGATTCTGTGGATGACCTCGTTTATTTCCATGGCCGACTCATGGTAGCCCTTGCCTACACTGTTGTCCCACACGACACTGAAATTTTCTAACGATAATTGATTTCAACAAGGCAGTGGTGATTTCCTTAAAATGGAATAAAATTCAAAGGAGCTAGCTGTCTTTCTTCTTCCTGGAATTAAGTAAATTGTTCTCTGCTTGAACTATCAGATAGTTCCAGGTTTCTCTTTTGCTCAGCTTGTCCTCATTTCAAACTGGTGAAATTTTTTGTGTGTAATGGGAAACCCTTACACAGGACCTGCTAGCTCATCTCTAGGGCCAGGATTAAGTCTGTGGCTGTTGGCTGTAGGAAATGTTTGAAGACATTTTGATAAGATTTCATTCCTTGTCCTGTGTTCCCCTCTTTGGGTCCTCAGGGGAATATCGGAGGCATCAGAGCTAAGGCAATGATTTAAATAATCTCACTGTCACTGATGGTAAGGCTAAGGAAGGTAGGGTGAGCCCATGGCCTAATAGCTGCCTAGTTCTCTATGGCCCTGTGACTTGACTTACCACCTCACCCTCCATACTTCTTTGAGAGTTCTGAGTACTGGCTCAGGAGGCAGAAGTCCCACATGGCACTGGGGTGAGATGGAACATTCCTTGGGGATACGCAGGGTGGGGATTTTCTACTTTAATTCAGTTATTATTTCTCTCAAGCTTCATGCCCCTAAATAATAGGTCTACCATATGTCAACAACCCACATTCACAGTTAAGCAGGCCTGCTGAGGCCACCAGTTTCCTCTCCTTTCTCAGAGAGAGAAGGCATCTATTCTACTTCTGGTAGTATTATTGGCTCATTTGTCTTTTCAACGCAGCTCAAAGCCCCAGAAACAAGAGGTGTACACATATGCCATTGTGTAACATTTTAACCAGAAAAACAAAATGATGGCTTGGTTAGACTCTGAGGGGAAAGGGCACTGGGATGGAGGAGAGCTACAGTGAACATGACTCTATGTTGCAATTACAAATAGCCTACAAACAGTGCACTTTTGGCTGAAGTTGGTAAATAGTCAACGAAAATTGCCCTTGCTTGTGACTTTTTAACAAAGGTTACTTTGCTGGATTCCTAACAAGTGTAACTCTCCTTTTTTTTTTTTTTTTTTGGTTCAACAATAAAACATGCACAAACAGGAAGTCATTTTTCCTTTGTCTTTGGGGGAAAAATGTGCCCGACTTTAGAAATTATAAACCCCGGTGGCAACAATGTTTGATATTTGTCTAAACCTTATCACAATAGTGCATGAAGTTCAAGAATGGACTTTGGCCCCTTTTCCCCAGCCTCCAGATATAAATGGACGCTCCAAGTCCTTGGGAAGCTGCAGAAGTTTCACAGAACTAGTTTACCTTGAAAGTTGTTGCAGACTCAGGACTGGCAAGAACCAAAGGTGAAATGAGAACCATGCCAGAGAAGTGGCCTGGCCTCTCTGCAGCTGTGAGGATGGCGATGGCACCTCCCTGCAATGCAAAATGGGCAGAGTTGCTGTGTGCTGGCTTCTACCAGCACGTGGATTTCTAATGAGACCGATGGATGAGGTCCTCCTAAACTGCGGGCCTGGCCGAGAACCCCGAGGAGGTCTACCTTGGAATAGACACCACTGAATGTTGGATAAACTGAGTCTGCAATTATTTTACTACACGTTTTTTTTCCAAAAGCAAACATTTCAGAGAGATATAAATAAGGTTCCTGCTTGTGGGCTGCAAATTAAACAACACATTCCTACTTCATTTCAAGCCAAAAGCTGGCAGATATCCAATTCATCCATTCCATCAGGCTTAATATGAGATTTTTTAAAAATTTGTAGCCTGATCATAATAAGAAGTTGCCATGCCTTTTTTTCCCCTCCCTGGTTCAGTAAAGGCCCCAGAAATTTAAGATCCAAGAAAAATCGTGAACGTGAATGGTGTTGAAGGTCTGAGGCCTTGGCTGTTTGCTGAAGCTGCAGGTAATTTGAACCAAGGGCGGAAACTGCAAATGCTTTCAGGGGCCAGGCAGGTAAGAGAAACACAAGAACAGAGCCAGGCTGTGATGTAGGGGGCGGAAGCTCTGCCCTGGATTGAAAAGTTTCACCATATCCAAAATCGAGCAGTTCAAATTCTCTGCCAGCCAACACTTCAGGTTGGGAAGATCTGTCCCAGTTGGGATGCTGCCAGTTTGAAGACTCCCAATTTAAAGATTATATGTGGTCAATTCCTGCAGGGTTTTATACATTTAAAAGGTGAAAAAAAATTTTGAATGACCTTTAAGGAATTGTATCCACAGGGAGCCTACTTCTCATCTGTACTGTACAGCTCCAAAGAAAGCATTCAGGATTTTTGGCACATTCAGTGTGCTTCTCACTGACTAAAGCGCCATCCCTGCTCTGAGAAGTGGCTCTGCGGGGAGCAGAAGTGCCCTTGAGGGCCTCACTATGAAATGGCACTGAGGTGGAAATTGGGTTTTAAAAAAGATCAGTTTCCCAAGAGGCCCCACAGCCAAGCTCTTCAGTAACAACGGATGGGCCACCTCCCGGTGCCTTGGGCTCTGGCACGAAAAGATGGACTGCTCTGAGCTCCGTCCAGGGCTGTCTCCAGGACTCAGAACCTGGCCTGGTTCCTAAGCACAAAATTGCCTGGGAACTCCAAGTGCAGGGCATTTAGAGTAGGGTGTGCCAACCAGGCAGGGAGAGAGGACGAGGCAGGGAGGCAGGGCTACCCCTTCTCCATCAAGGGGTTCTCACATTGCCCAGCCAATGCAAGTTCTTATTGAACTGGGTCTTCTGTGGTCAACTTACCATGGAGTGGCCCAGAAGGAAGACAGGAACTCCTGGGTAGTCTTTTTGCACAAAATCTACATGCTGTAACACATCCCTGATGAAAACGTGGAAGTCAGACACCACCATCCTCTCCCCTTCACTCTGTCCATGGCCAACTGGAAGGGAATGAGAGACAAGAGAATTGTAGTCACTAAGGGGGTTGACTTCTGCCCAGGCTCAGCAGTTTCCTCACTGGAATCACCAGCCACTCTTTACTGAGAACCTGAATGGATGATGTCATTGAAGCCTTTCCAACCATTCTTGAACGTGGAAATTAGTCTCCACTCATCGTACAGATTAGGATGTTAAGGCATAGGGTGGTTAAGGAACTCACCCACAATCACACACAATCAGGAAGAGATGAACCATTCTGTAGATTCTGTCCACACAGCTGGGATGCTTTCCCTGTGGCTGTTTCCGAGGAAGAAAGAAAAGTAGATAAAAAGAGAAATTCACCAAGCCTAATTTTCTGCTAAGTGGCCAGGAGTAAGACTAATGAGGCACAGAATTTTCCTGGGTTTTCCCAGTTCCTTGACCCTCACAGTTGTGTTTCGGTATTAGTTTTTCACCAGGTAAAGTGTCACTTTTTTATAAAAGATAATGTGGCAAACACAAAATAGTCAAGTGTGCTTGCCAGAAATCCTCTCAATTATGTAGCAATGAAACCAGGTCATGTTCTATCTCTTTGGGATTTTATTATCTGTCACATATCTGGGCTGTTCATTTCTCCAGTTCTTTTCTTAGGGTCTCTCCACTTTTTCCCTCTGAGAAGGACATAAGTTGCTATAGAAACAACATGCTGACTGCAGCTTCCATATTCAGGCTGAAAGCTGCTGATGTGATGATTTGAAAATCGCCAGAAAGAAAGGGCTCCCAGAGAACAGGGACCATACAGCAAGAGCGTCTGCCCAAACCCTTCCCGCTGCCTTGGTGAGTAAGTTATTATAGTAATAATGATAATAACACTTTTTTCACAGATGGGAAAGGTGAAGACTCATCATCACCTGGAACCGACTGGCTGTCCAGACCTCAGACTCAGACACCCTCAGTGTGGTCTGACCACAAACTCTTGTTTCCTACTGTCCTATCTCCTCCTCCTATGTGTCCCCACTTTCCTATTCAGACCCACCTCTCTGACCATTGCATGCAGCCCAGGGCCCACCGGTCTGTTACCCTCTCAGAACTGAGGACTTTTTTCCCTTTTAAAATTTTATTAAATTTAATTTTGTATTGTGATAAAAAATCAATGACGTAAAATTTATATATAACATAAAATACCATCTTAACCATTTTTTAGTGTATAATTCAGTGATATTAAGTATATTCATACTGCTGTGTAACTGTAACCATCACCACCATCCATCTCAGAACTTTTTCATCTTTCCAAACTGAAATTCCATATTCATTGTTATGCACCGAAATGTGTGCACCTCCCCCACCCTCCACTGATATGTTGAAGTCCTAACCCCCAGTACCTCCAGTGTGACTATTTGGAGAGGGGACATTTGAAGAATAACTAAGTTAAAGTGAGGTCACTAGTTTGGGTCCTAAGTCATATTGGATTAGAGGAGATTAGGACACAGAGACACACAGAGGGAGGACCACGTGAGGACACAAGAAGACAGCTGTCTGCAAAACAAAGAGAGAGGCCTCAATGAAACTAAGCCCGCTAACACCTTGATCTCTGAGTTCCAGCCTCTAGAACTGTGAGGAAATAAATGTCTGTTGTTTAAACAACCAGGCCTGTGGTACTTTGTTACAGCAGCCTGAGCAGAGTAATGTGTCCGTTAAACATTAACTCCCCATTTTCATCCCTCAGCCCCTGGCAGCCACTCTTCTACTTTCTGTCTCTATGAATTTGACTACTCTAAGTACCTCCTGTAAGTGGAATCATATAGTTTTGTTTTTTTGTGTGTCCAGCTTATTTCACTTAGCATAATGTCCTCAAGATTTATCCTTGCTGCACCATGTGTTGGAACCTCCTTTTTTTTGGGGGGGGGGTACTGAATAATATCCCATTGTATGTATAGACCACATTTTGTTTATCCAATAAACTGTCAATGGACACTTGGGGTGCTTTCACCTCTTAGCTATTGTGGATAATGCTGCTATGAAAATAAGTGTACAAATATCTGTTCTAGTCCCTGCTTTCAATTCTTTCGGGTATATACCCAGAAGTGGGATTGCTGGGTCATACGGTAATTCTGTTTAGATTTTTGAGGAGCAGCCCTTCTGAGTCTTCTGCTCTGGATTCAGTTCACAGCTGTCCTTTTCCAGCTGATTCCATGGCGGCTGGGTGAACTTGAGTGTGTGAGCCAAATAACACCAAGGCTGGCTGGTGACTTATTGCCTCTTCACACATATTCGGCTGCCAAACAAATTTGCCTCAGCATCTCTTCCAAATGTCTTCATTATCCTAAAGCCTGTAAACCTACTTCCCGACTCCGAGCAGATATTATCACTCTTTTCTTTTTTAAAAACATGGGACCATCCAACATGGCCCTCTTCGCCCTCACCCACTGTGAGGATTTTCTTCTTTACAGGTTGGACCCTTCCTGATCCTAGACACTCCCGCCCAGCTCTCCCAGTGTTTGTTCTCTCTCTCTCTCTCTCTCTCTCTCTCTCTCTCTCTCTCTCTCTCTCTCTCTCTCTGTCTCTCCCCTCCTGCCTCAACAATATGCTCTATTCTTCCCTCCCTCCTTCATCTTCTAGGCCCTTCAACCACCAACTTCTTTCTCTCTTTCCCCTCAGTCTTCAGAGAATGAACTACACTCACTGACCTTTCCCACCCCATCTTCTCTCTAACCTGTGGAGGTACTGCCCTGACCCCACTAAGTCACCAGAGACTCCTGCTGGCCGTGCACAATGGCCGTCCCTCAGCCTTCCCTCAGTCTTTGCTCTCCTTCCACTGTCAGCTTGGCTGGTTGCGCACTGCATCCCACACAGTCTTGGTGGATCCTGTCACAGGTCCATGGAAATGAACTTCTCCTTCACCTCTCTCCCTACTTTTTCTTTGCCTCCTTTCCCTGGCCAGCTTCTGCACTACCTTCATACATTCATTTTTAATTTCAAAAAATTGCATTGTAAAAGAGAATTCATTCACATGGTTCAAAAATCGAAGTGGTATAAAATGGTGTAATTGAACACGTTCCTTGCCACCAATTTGTTCTTCTTCCCCTAAGTTCTTCCCAAGGTATCTCCTGTCTCCTTCTAGTGCCTCTTTATAAACAAATACAAATCTTGATTTTTATCTCCCTTTTAAAACATTAAGAAACATAACATATACAGATCTGCATCTTGCTTTGTCCACCTGACAATATATCCAGAGGATTTTTCAACATTTGAAATAGAGTTTCTCTCTAGCTTTTTTCTCCAACTTTTCATTAAAAAATTTTCAAACACACAAAAACATGGGAAGAATATTACAATACAGACCCTATGCTTACCATCTATTTTCCACAGTTGTCAACATTTTACTTCCTTTATGCATATGTAGTTCTAAATATAAAAAGGGCTGAATCATTTAAAGTAAGTTGTAGATTTTAACAATTGGAAAATCTAGGTAGAGAATATACAAAGGTTCTTTGCATTAATCTTGCAAATTTTCACTAAACTGAAGTCATTTCTAATAACAATTTTATAAAAGTTCATAGCTAGCATGACACTCTATCCCTAGACACTTGAGTGTGCATCTCCTAAAAAACACATTCCCTTCATAATTACAATGCTACTTTCCCACTATGTAAACTTGCAGTAGCTCCCTGATATCATCTCACATTCAGTCCAAACTCAAATTTCCCAGTTGTCTCCATATATTTTATAGCTGTTTTTAAGACCCAGGATACAAAGTTCATACACTGTATTTTGTTGTTGTTGTACTTCTTTTGTTTGTTTAAATCTACAACTTTCCATTCACTTTTATTTTGAAGAGACCGGGCCAGTAAAATGTCCCATATTCTGAATCTGATTGGTTTTCCCTCATACTGTTCCTGTGTTCCTACTATTCATCAAGCACTTTCTTGCTTTCCGGCACAAGTGTCTGTGACTTCTGTAAACTTTCCCTGCCCTAGATCTAAAATTAAGCATTTTTTCCAAGGAGCCCCGGATCCTGTTAGTATGGAATGGTGTTTAAATACCAATATTTAACTATTGGAGTGCTCAATCCCATCCGGGTGCCATAGTTTTTGTGCTCTCTCAGTGGGAAGAGCTAGGAAACAATTTTTTTTTCAAAATCGAGAGTTCATATTGATATTTCTAGTTAAAAATCAGTGTTCCAAGGTTTTTCTTAACTTCTCTGAGTTTATATTTTATCTCTTTTCTCTGACACTGAAAATGTTAGTTGCTAATAGCATTAACATAGTCACTTATCTGTGGTGTTAACAATGTAATGACAGAATAGTTTCAAAGTCACAATGTTACCACCAATGATAAGCCAACTGAGGGAAACCTAACATTTCTTTGCATTTCCTTTTGTCCCTAGAATATACTTCAATAATGATAGGGCCAGAGTATTGTGTTCAGGGTTCAAATTATTATGCATGTCATAATTATTTCCTCTTCGTGCTCATGTTACTAATTTGATATACAATTTGGTTCATTAAGTTCAAATTAAATTTGTTTCCAATTGTAGGTTTTGCTCTTTTGCTTGTTAATTTAATTTCCTTTTCTGAATATAAAAACATTTACCTGGTACAACAGTCCTAAATATATAAAAAGATTCATCCATCAAAGTCTTGCTTCTACTCCTATCTCCTCCACCTCTCTCCTCTTGTTCCCTATAGTTAATCGTTTTAATTATTTTCTGTTTTTTCTTTGAAATATTTCTTTGTGCAAGGATAAGAAAATTATGTATGTATGTATGTATGTATGTATGTATGTATGTATGTATGTATGTATCTATCTATCTATCTATCTATCTATCCATCCATCCATCCCTCATTTTCCCTCCTTTCTTACCTAAAAGGTAACTGCCACACATCTATCCTCTACACCAGATTTGTTTCACTTTATCATATTCTGGAAATCTCTTCATAACACAAACAGACCCCAGAATTCTTCTTTGATCTGTTGTACTTTGTGAGAATGAATTATAGTTTATTCGAGTAGCCCCTTCTTG